GCCTCCAACCTACTAGCGATGCCTCCAACCTACTAGCGATGGCCTCCGGCCTAATAGGGATGGCCTGCAACCCAATGGCCTCCAACCTACTAGCGATGGCCTCCAACCATACCGATGGCCTCCAACCCAATGGCGACGGCCTCCAACCTAATTGATAGGGATGGCCTCCAACCTAATAGCAATGGCCTCTAACCTAATGGCAATGGCCTGCAGCCTAATAACCACTGCCTCCAACCTAATAACAATGGCTTCCAACCTAATAACAATGGCCTCCAACCTAATGGCAATGGCCTCCAACCTAATAAAAATGGCCCCCAACCTAATAGCAATGGCCTCCAACCTGATAACAATGGCCTCCAACCTAATAACAATGGCCTCCAACCAATGGCAATGGCCTCCAACCTGATAACAATGGCCTCCAACCTAATAACAATGGCCTCCAACCTAATGCCAATGGCCTCCAACCCAATAACAATGGCCTCCAACCTAATAACAATGGCCTCCAACCTAATGCCAATGGCCTCCAACCTAATGGCAATGGCCTCCAACCTAATAACAATGGCCTCCAACCTAATGGCAATGGCCTCCAACCTAATGGCAATGGCCTCCAACCTAATGGCAATGGCCTCCAACCTAATAACAATGGCCTCCAACCTAATAGCAATGGCCTCCAACCTAATAACAATGGCCTCCAACCTAATAGCAATGGCCTCCAACCTACTTGGACCGTTTCCGGACCTGACTGTATTTTGGCGACGAACGGACGTCATGTGTGACGACGTGGGGACATGATCCGCATCAAAAGCGTCTTCCCTGCAAAAGTCCAAATCATCAAACCAGGTGCTGTCCAACTGTCCAAATAGATGTGAACATAAGAGGGATACTCGGAAAAAATAAAGCCCACCAAATTGACCAATAAGAGAAAGGGTCAAAATAATTTGTCCACACCTCTTGCTCATGTCGGCGCACAAGACTTCCATCTGGCAAAAAAATGAACATGAAAGGAACAACCAAGACTTCACAAAACTTCCATCAGACCAATTCATACGCTGTTAGGTTGGAGGCCATCGGTATTGGTTGGAGGCCATCGGTATTGGTTGGAGGCCATCGCTAGTAGGTTGGAGGCCATAGCTAGTAGGGTGGAACTCATGCCGTACCCACCTCCTTCGATCTGGCCCTTGGAAGATGCAAAAGGACGAGTGAAAATCTTGATTCATTTTTCAACTATGAGCAGGACCGTGATGGCAGTTGCTGCTACTAGCCATAGAACAAGCCTCAAGCTAGCAACAAGCAAATTCCTTCAAAGGCGGACCGCTTTGCCTCAACATTGAAGGATCATTGAAGGATCACAGGACGCTTCGCTCTACAGGGTTATGGAGGGCCTAGATTATGCTTGAAATTGCGACGGGGGATGCAAAGAGCATGTCCGTGCACACCAGAGCATGTGGAAAAAAAAATCTAAAGGCTACTAGTAGCAAAGGGCATCGCTACTAGGAGCAAGAACGCTACTAGGGGCTCCTGGCCGTACTACTAGGAGCAAGTAGGATGTGATAAAATCAATCAGTCCACGGAATTACTTTCTTTTCTGTGTCTTTAATCGTTCTTTCTTCTTTTTCAGCCCGCTCGGCCCTGCCTCCTTAATTGAGTAGGTGCCTACTTGAGCAAGGGAGAAACTAGTTCGCTCCTTACTGGACACTACTAGTATACAACTGGACGCAGGATAGCTCACGTTTCTTCAAGGAAGCTCTCCCCGCCTAGGGCGCCTGAGGGCGGGGGGGGAGCTTCCTTGAAGAAGCGCTTGCACTAATCATTTGGTTCCTAGATGTTTAGGGAAAGCTTAGCCCCAATCTGTCAGGAAATCCGTTTGTTCATGTTTGTTCGGACATACTCTGCAAAGAGGAACATTTAGGCACATTGTATCCTTTAGGATATGGAAAAAGGCAACATTGATGCTTTGTAAGCAAAGAACACGCTCACACTCCAGTTTTTGTCCACAGCAGGCAGTACGCGTAATTTTGAGTGTCCAGTCTAAGTATACACTCTGTATCAGCAATCATGGGACATTCATGACCTTTCTGCGCACTGCGCATGAGTCATCATTCATCAGATCGATGTTGGCGGAAGCAAATCGCTAAGAGATATGTTCAAAGGCCAAGTGAGCCCCCACCGAATCTACCCACAGCATGCAAGATGCCTGGAAATTCTGCAGCACTAGAAACCACCCATGTTAGCTGTGTGGCTGCAGTTTCCCTGTACACATCTGCATGTAGTATTCCATTTTGAATACTCAGGCGATGAAATCGAAGAAATCATCCGCCCAAAAAAGGGGACATCAAAACTAACTGGTCAGCTGCGGAGCCTCAACCCGACCGGAAAATGGACTGGGCAGAACTGTCCAAAGAAAAAAATATACTTTAAGCCAAATCAAGAAGTTGTTCCATGTTTTTCTTGTTTCTCTTTTACTGTCTTCTTCGGATGTCGACTTCAACATTCGATGTTCCTATCCTTGTCTGTGTTCCTGCCTGCAAAAGAGAAAATGTATCAGCGATGCTCCAAGAGCGAGAGTCTGCCTCCAAAAAGCCGAGACAGAACCAACATGAAACTGTTGAAAGCACCAAAACCTATGGGCGATGGCCTCCAACCTACTAGCAATGGCCTCCAACCTACTAGCAATGGCCTCCAACCTAATAGCGATGGTCTCCAACCTACTAGCAATGGCCTCCAACCTACTAGCGATGGCCTCCAACCTATTAGCGATGGCCTCCAACCTAATAGCGATGGCCTCCAACCTAATAGCGATGGTCTCCAACCTAATAGGGATGGCCTCCAACCTACTAGCAATGGCCTCCAACCTACTAGCAATGGCCTCCAACCTAATAGCGATGGCCTCCAACGAAAGCACCCAAACCAATGGAAGCAATCCAATGTGAGCACTCGAACGTCGCGAAAGTGAAAGTGGTCTATCTCCGAGACCTTAAGCTATCCGTGAAGATTGTGGTCGTGCCGTCGGTCTTTGGCAGACCGATCATATCCATCACAACCATCTTTGGAATTGTTGAATGCTGTGACCAGCCAATGTGCATGAACAGCGGTGTGGAAACGCAGAATAAGACACATGGCTATGGCTCAAAAATAAACTGCCATCCGAACCCCTCTGCAAAGGACAAACAGACCAAAATCTGCAGTCCGTTTGATTTGAGCCAGGCCCACATCCAAGGCCGCTGCAAGTCCATGGCAGCTATAGTCAACATCGTAAAAGGAGGCTAATGAACCAATGGGAAATTTCCTCATCCATCACAAGCAAACCTCTGCTTGTGTTTTCGTCGGAACCAAAAAACCGTCTTGCGATTCTTATGAGGTAGAACTCAAAGTCATGGATCAAAGCTCAGATTTGTGTTTTTCATGTTGTGTTTGTTTCTATTTTTTGTGTTCTTTGTGTTGCTTCTTGTTTTTATTTTATGTGCTTCTTTCTTTCTGTTTTTTATTTCTTTCTTTCCGTCTTTCTGTCTTTCTTTCTTTCTGCCTTTCTACCTTTCTACCTTTAGACCTTTTCTTGCTGTCAGTTTTTCTGTAGACCCGTTTCTATTTTTTGTGTCTGTCACTAGCATCAAAAATGTCTGTTGAAAAAAATCGAACTCAAAGTCGTGGTCGTGGATCAAAGCTCAAAGAGCAAGGCTCTTCCTACTCATCAGAATGACCCCAAATACGCACTGCACTGCGTAGCCAAAAAAAGGTCAAGACTCAACAATAACAAGCTATTTTACTGTTTTCCTGTGTCATGATTGTGTCTTTGGTAGCTACACATGTAGTTCTGCAAAACTCAACACGTCGACTATTCACACCTGGGCTTGGCCCAATTCGGGATGAAACAAAAGCTCAGAATGCTGGCTCATTCGGTCACTTGCTGGGAGATTTGCTGGTATGTTGCTACTCAGATTCTCAACAAAGTTGTTTTTGAATGCTGAGAACTGCCAAGTTCTCCATACGAACTTGCTTCCACGAACTGTTTGAGAGATCTTTGCAGCGTCGATTGCATTCCCACAGCATCAGCAGAGCATCATTGAAATACAAAAAGCCAACGAATCGAGAAGCACCAACACCGCCGGGAGTCGAGGCACAAGGCTTTCAAAGGGTCGCAACAAAGGTCGGAGTGTGTTCGTTTAGTTTGCTAGTAGGTTGGAGGCCATCACTATTATATTTAGCAAAGAAAAAGAAGAGGAAGCTATCAGCTATCCATGTCGGAGGTTAATCTCCCACCTTCGCAGTGTTGTTCGGTCCGGAATCCTTGGAGCTGACAATCATGCGATGCTTTGGCATTGAATCTCTGGGTCTGTGACTGTTCTGGACTCCTCCAGCTGGCCTAGCGTGACAACTTTGCAAAAAAAGGCTTCGAAAGGCCACAAGTTTCTACAGCAGTTTTCTGTATGTTGGAGTGTGTACATATCAACCTAATAATCCCAGCCTCGGAGCAATTTCCTTCTTGCCTCGGCGGGTCACACCAAAGGGTGAAACAACCAACAGCGTTTATGCGTTCATCACACGAAGCAATGCTTCTTCAGCTTCAGTTGAGCTTTGTACATTGCCAAATTTGATTTTGAATTCGGATGGGCTGCTTTCAGCCCATCGAACCTTGCCACAACGCCAGGCCAAAAAAGTGCAAAATATTTCCAGCAACATATCATATACATATCTATATGTATATATACAAGGTTGTTTCAAGCCGCAAATGAATCAATGAATGATCAAGTCGAATAAAAACATCAAACTTAGTAACAAGAAGCTACTCGTAACAGGTGCATTGCTACTAGTAGCTCCTGGCATTACTACTAGTAGCAAGAAGCTACTAGGAACAAGTGCATCGCTTCTAGTAACAAGTGCCTTACTAGTAGGAACAAGGACGCTACTAGTAGCATTTCTACTAGTAACAAGAAGCTACTTTGTGCCCAAAAGGCCCAGAAAGCATGTGAGTCGTGCTGACGTCGCTCGACCTGGCCATGTTCGGTAAGAAGTTTTGGAAGCCAGACCTCTTTCTCCTCTTGCTAGTAAGGCACCTTGCTACTAGGAACAAGTGCATCGCTACTAGTAGCAAGAAGCTACTAGTAGCAAGGCACCTTACTCCTAGGAGCTTGTTACTACTAGTAAGGCACCTTGCTACTAGTAGCTTCTTGTTGCTAGTAGTAATGCTGCTAGTAGCTGCTTGCTACTAGTAGTAAGGTGCCTCACTACTAATGACTTTCTCCTGTCTAATTCATAGCCAGACCTCTTTGAGAAAGTCATCCACAATAGCTCCCTGAGAGATGAAGAATATGGAAATGAAAGGGAATGGAATCAAACCAAGATCAATCAAGAGAATCAAAAAGCAAATCAAGCGAATAAACAATAAATGTATGTTCCCTTCTCTTCCTTTGGATCTGTTGCTTTGGTTTGCTTTGCTGGACTTCCAATCTTGCATACTCATCCTTTCTCTCGCCTTGCCCTTGGATCCTCCCAAATAATGGCCACAAAAACTCCTCCTTTGAGAAGTGGAAGGAAAGAGCCTAGACAGCAAAAGAGAAAGAGCCCCTGCTCGTAGCCTATGATCTTCAATTAAGGTTGTTTATGCGAAACGGCAGATTGTCTGATCACAAGAAGTTTCAAAAAGACATTTCCGAGTTGTGAACAGTTGCATAGAGATTCCGTGTGCATGTGTCTGTGTGCATTCACATGAGTGTGACAGGAATGTGTCTCGGGTCTGGATGATGGGTGTGGGATGCTGCGAGTCTGGAATAGCACTGCCAGGGCGTCAGGTGGCTTCTTCGCCCGGTCAGAAATAAACATCTTCCGCTTATGGTACTCAATGGCATGAGGAATCACAACTTCCCCCACCGCACTTGACCACGACATAAATCAGCACAATATACGCCCCCCCTCACAAGTCCCTACATTGCACTTCATATCTGAAGAACTCATGATATCTGCTGCATGCAGTTCTGCAGTGTGTCCTGCTGCACCTATTTGGGCTCGCTGCCTCTAGGGAATTTCCGAGAGGGTGCAGCATCTATATAGCAACAAACGCATCTCTCTGCTGAGCACATCTTGCATGTCTTTTATAGATGCTTTGCTGTGCTTATGAGAAGCATCACCACACACAAGACATCACCTGATCATATGTCACCACATGACCAATCGCATCATTTCTGCAAACAGTTTTGTGCTTCTTCTTACTTCTATGTTAAAAGGAGTCTGCGTTGCATTTTGAACAAGGGCAAAGAAGAGTTGAAAAGGCACTTTCGCTTAGGAAGATTTCGACACAGCAGGCCATCGCTAGTAGGCTGGAGGCTGCAACCTGAACGTTCCGTTGGTGTGCCTCAGCTGGTAGAGATGCGGATCTTCTCCACAATATGGGTACATCCATTCCTCAGGAAGGATGAAGAGATATGAAGAGCCTTCGTGAAAAGGGTAGAAAATGGCAAACGAAAACCACTTCATTCGAGGAACGTTGAAGTGATTGGCGATATCGTACGCAGGATCAAGGTCTCCCGAATACTCAAAGTCCAAGAACTGGAGATTCGTGAGATCACCTCGGACGCATCATCCGTCCAGACGCTGTCGAATGAGTCGAATCTTCACAATGAAGCTGTCAGTTCTCTGAAAGCAAAGCTTTAAGAACAACATTTAGAGCATTTTTGAGCATTTGAACATACA